CTCTTACTATATATATATATATATATATATATATATATATCACACACACACACACATATATATAAAGCAACAGTGACCATCCTTTCTTTCCCATGCATTCAAATGTGTTTTTGCATATAATGCTGGATTTTTCCAATAAACCAAACAAGTTAAAGGTACAGAAGCAGCACACTCCTGGGCTGTCAATCTCACTGAAGAGACAAAACAAATACATAGAGCTTTCATCAGTAATACTAATGACTATCCAGACACGCATGCTCCCTACCAAGTGCTTATCCGAGTATTTTGCATTTCCTCTGCTGTTCAAGTTCTACAGCTTGCTTAACACTGCAGGTTTCTCTTCTGTCCCTGCCATCATCCATGAAGACAAGGCATTAGTAGGTGCATTCCTCAATCAATTAAGGTATTTAATGTGTCCAACATGGTAGTATCTGAGTGCAGTCAAGTATGTTAGTGATGTTCTAGCAAGTTAATGGAGGAGGTAATGATATAGCTTTACTGGTGTGACAGATTTAGTAGTTTTATTTTAAAATTCCTTTGGTGTCTGTGAATCTGTGATTGGTGCTGGCTTCACACCTGTAGACTGAATTCAGTCTCTGGCATAGATGGAGATGGACAAAGGCAGGGCAAGTTAACCTTACATCAGTGGGCCTCAGCTGTAAACTGACCAATTATTTCTTCATCTCTCTCCTGAGACCAACAGAGTCCCAGTAGTGCTGGGTTCTGCAGTAGTGCATACCTGTCCACTAGGGCAGTGGGCTCGGTTTTTACTTAGCAATGCCTAACAATCTTATGTAGAACTATTGACACTAATCCCTTCTCTCTATCTGAGGAAGGAAAATCCAGCAAAATGCTCTCCAGAAACAATTTCCACTGCTGTGGACAAGCTTGTGGCCAATGCAGAGGCTGACAGCCAAAGCCGTCCATCTTAATTTGAGTAAAGGATACTGCAGTTCACAAAGTACTAACAAGGTTTGCATATTGGACTAATAGCACTTAATGCTGTATGTTATCCATGCAGCTTTGCTCCTGAAATGAAAACTGGGAAGGGACAAATAGAAGTGAAGAGAGCAGTGAGGAAAGAGGAGGCTGCTATGCATTCAGGTGACCTCTGTTTGTCTTGTTCAGAAGTTTTTTCAGGTCAGACGACATGAAGTAAGGCTTTTCAGATGAACCATCATTACGTTCCAGGTCTTCCACTGCAGGGGGGAGGGAGGGGAGGTTAAAATACAGAGCTTAAGTACTGCAGGGTTGTAAACACCTCAAACTAGAACCAGTTACTGGGCATGCCAAGCCCCGAAGGGATACATTTGTTTTCAGTGCCATTTAAACAGCAGGTGCTCTCACATCTACATGCACAACCTTTCCATGATTCAGACTGAGTTGGATGCTGGGGAAAGTTGCTGTGGTCCCTATGATGGTCATAGAAGGTGCAGTTAAGAAGTCTAGAGACAGACAAGTGCTAAAAGAGCAGATGTAATACTCATCCGTTAAATACCCAGTTGAGATGCGGATGCCCTTCTGCTTCTCACAGGCAGTGCATGTATGCGTATTCTGTGTTTCTTCTAAAGCCCTCGATATATGCAGCTTCCAAATGTAAAAGTCACAATTACACTTGTTCCACTCCCATTTTAAAGACAGAGTATTGGTCTCCTGAAGGGAGGCTGTTTATCAACATCTATTTGGAAGGAGCAGGGGGGCTAAAGTGTTAGGTTACAAATCAGCTAAGACAGTGGCTCCTCCTATATGAACAGAACAGGTTGCTCAATACTACCATTGCCTGGAAATACAGAGATTACCATTACTTGGGGATAGTGTGGCAAGACAATGCTCACTCATTGTTCTTCAGTATAGTGTAACTGCTCATGACTTGACTGTAAAGCAAGTCACTTGTTATTTGTTTGGCCCAGTTCACCTAGTGTACAACACCCTTGTCAACATACAGTACATACATAATAATTAGGCATGTCCCTGGCACAGAATATATTGTTCAGACGTTAGCTGTTCAAAGCAGAGCAGCAGCTCCAGCAAAAGCCATAGGAGAATAGTTGCCAAAATCACAGAGACCATCAGCTTCATAGCTTAGTGAAACAGTCCTGGAATATTTTGAGGTTGATGGCATAGTGATGAGGGCACGAGCATTGACGCCCAGCAACTTTTTCCTAAAAGGATAAGACTCAAAATATGGGAACCTTATTTGGATGGGAATTTGTAATGCAAGATTTGGCAGTGTTCGCAGAATTGAGTCCTCAAGGAAGAGACTCTTCCTAAATCAATCAAAATAAGACAACAAACCCCACACAACATCCTTCTGGTCCTTGATATAGTAAGGAGAAAATAAGGTGAAGATCCATCGGGTGTTTGCGGGCATGTTTTAGATGCCGAAAACTTTAAAAACTGGCCATCCGTCAAACCTCTCTAGATTCAGTTGTACTATTTCTGTCCACCATCATGCTGCAACACCTCCAAATGTGATATCTGCCATTTTCTCTTGCTTTTCCAGTCATTAACACTGGGTACATAATCACAGATTCTTGTGGCATCTAGATTTGATGGATGGTCTAGTGGCTAAAGGGAAGTCATAGTAGCTATTTAGGGAGTCCCTTTCTGTTCTATGTAGCTCAGCTTCAGTTATTTTCTACGCAACTGGCCTGACTGCACTGGGCTGTCAGCTAAGAAGGTGCCAGGATCTTATTTGAAAGACCTGGAGGCCATAACCCTGGAAAGCTGCTCCACCCCCTCCATCTATCTTTCTGATGGAAAAATGGGACAATCATCATCATCTGAACTACCTCAGGAATGAGCAGAGTTCTGTAAGCCGGTTACCACAAAGATCCGCCATCTTCCATTTAGTTACTAGTTAAGTGAGTAGCCAACCAGGAAGTGTGGGAGACAGACTGAAAGAATTCTATACAAGTCAAGCTGTACATACAAGTGAAAAGATCAATTACATTTTTCAACTTAAAATTCCTGCCAACGTGTTCATCCCCCCAAAAATAACCTCTCTGAGAAAACAGCAACTACAAGTTTCCTACTTTAAACAGAGAGAATTCCATTTTGGGACACAAAGGTTTCCAGGACCCTCGTGGACACAACAGATTTGAAAGTGAAGCATATGTCACCCAGTAAAGAAAACTTCAGATCTGCCAGCTGCATTTTGCATAGAAATAGTAGTGAGAAAAGTGGTTAATTTCTCTTTGCAGCTAGCTAGGGGCTGAGGAAAATATAGTTGCATCCAGAACAGATTGACATATGGGCAGCTGTAAACCTCTTGATCATTCTACAAATTAGCATCTCACCAACTGCAAAGAGAAACAGCTCCCCCACAAATAGAGCATAGAACGGGACAGAGCAAAAGTCAGTCAACTTTTAAAGGACATTCCAGAAGTAGCTACAATGCCCCTTTCATTATAGGCAATTGAGAGTAGAAGAGGATGCAAGATAATTTTTTTAAATGAGTGAGATATACACTATCCTGTGTATATATAAACCCAACTTTGGCTTCTGTGGAGGCAGAGTCTTGTTGCTTAGGTTAGCAAAATGTATCATGCATCAATGGACAGGTGGGACTCAAGCTTCATTCTAGAAGAGGATTATGTCAAATGCACAAGAGTCCCAATTACAGTTCCACCCATTTTGGTACAAGAATATCAGTTGGGGGAAGGAACATGGATTTGATACAGCATTCACCCACTTGCACTGTCCTTCCAAAATCAACACCTCCTCTACCCTCAAGAATTCCCAGGACAACCAGCTGAAAATCATGCACCACCAGGGTGGAGCCTTGGAAGAATACCACACAATTACAGATTGACTGGGTGAGCACAAGTCTTCTACAAGACACCCACATGTGCTAGCCCATCCTGCTCAGAAAGTTGGGCCCTATCCTTGGCTATCAGCACTTTTGGATGATTCTAGGCTCCCCTTCAGCAGGATTTCACTCAGCTCTGGGGACATGTAGTAAGGTCGCTCAGGAGATCCATCATTCCTCTCCAGGTCTTCACCTTTTCGCAACCCCAGGAAGATGAAGGAAGTGGCCACGGAAAGGAGGAATGAGAAGCAGTGGAGGAGCAAGGGGAGCAGCACAGCAAAAACAAGAGAGAGAAGAACAACAGAGGGAGAGAAAAAAAAGGAAAAACTGACGTTAGTTGCAATTAGATTCCACCACCGAGATCAAAGTACCAAGAAACGTAGAGAGACTAAAACAGATTACAGAGAGTCTAGTTTTGAGCTACAAATTTCTATTGCTACCAAGCATGGTGTACAGGAGCTGCTTGTTAGAGTGGTGATGGGGGGGGTGAAGAGGGAGAGGCAGAAGAGAACTTCACAGTTTTAGAAATGATAGAAGAAGGAGTTAGGTTTCAGGGGTTCTTCCATCATCTCATTTTATTCAGGGTTTTAAATCACTGATGCCGAGTTAGTGCATGCACATTTTTGTACGCAGCTCTTAGGGGGAGATTTTGAAGACTTGTACTTCTAAATCCTTTGGCATTTTTGAAAGATTTGCCCAAGTGCTCTAAGCCCTGGGCACATCCTTCCCATTGCAGCCCATGCACAAGAGGCAGCGTTAAGAGATTAATGGAGCTGTAATGCAGAGGAAAGCTGGAGGTTTGCCAGGGCCCATAACAGCCTTTAATGGCAACGAGAAGTATGGGGAAGCCCTAGACTAAGGAAAAAAGTATGACACCTCAGTTCTTGGGAACGGGGAGGATGGAGATTGGAGCGTCCCTTTGTGGTGTGCTGCCCTCTTTTATAAGCAGAAGCCATGTCGGTGGAAGTGGTTCAGTAGAGCAGAAGCAAACTATGAAGTGACAAGTAGTCAAAGAAAGGCTGCATGAGCCAAACACAACAGAACAGTTCCACAGGCCAGCCCTCTGGGGTGACAGAGGTGTAGCCACAAAGTAGTACAAAGTAATTCTCAACTGAGCTCCAAAACCCATGCGGCCCAGTTACTTACAGAAGCAGAGGAAGAGGGTGTCCACACACATGGCATAGACGCTGAAGAATCCATGTGCGATGAGATAGGAGCCCATGATCACAGTCTGTAAGAGAAACCAGGTTGTTATCTCAATGCTGAACCAAATTATTCTGGGGCAGTTCTCTGCCCTGTGTTAGGAGGTCAGACTAGATGATCACAATGATCCCTTCTGGTCTTGAAATCTATAACCTGATACCAGTATGGAGAGCAAGATGCTGCAGAAGGTCGCTTGAAAGAGAGAAAAGACCTGCTGAACTCCACTCACAGTTCCCCCTTCTGTTTCCATAGGAAAAGAAATGGCCCTGCCCAACCTGATTCAGGCACGGTAGCACCAGCGAATGGAAGCTGGCCGGGCTTGGCTCAGTGCAGCTGCCTGGAAGTGCCCATGGGGAGATGTGCTTCTGCATTAATTGGCTGACTCTGCAGAGAAGCCATGGTTTGAATGGGAAACAGAATGAGCTCTCCTTCCTTTACAAAGCGGGACTCCTGGAGGACAGTGAGTGGAGGAAACTTTCTCTGCTCAAGCTGCATATGTTCCGGAGAAAGGCTAACGTCCCTAAATTCATTGTAAGGCAAGTAAGATACCCACCAGGATAGGGACCCAATAGTAATTGAGAGGAGGTGCAGTGTCCCGAACCACGTCTATCCGCTGAGTGAAGAAGAAAAAGGCGAGGATTCCTAGAGAGGAGAAAATAAAAATACAGATGTTTGTGAGATGCACTAGTGACAAGCAAGAAAGGGCAACATTAGGGGAGGAGGAAGGTGAATTTAGAGACCTGGTAGGGGGATTATGGAAAGCCATTCCTGGAATAGCTGGGGAGATTTGCAAGGAATTGAGAAGATGCAAGGACATGCAGCTTTTGCCAGTCTCTACAAACACAGGGTTCAGGGGGAGGGGCTTACCCGAAGTAAGCCCTCGAAGAGGACTGAGATCGCAAACTTACCAACACTTCCCACGATGAGGAGTTTACCAAGGAAGAGCAGAAAATCTGTGACTTTATCTAAAACAGTCACCCTGAAAACAGAGAGATGTGAATGTCTTTCTGTACCCTCCAGGATGGGGGGAAGAAAAAGAGGCAAAGTGCATCCAAGCTCCTCTGTGATAAAGACAACCTAGGATAAGAGTTGCTAAGGGGCTAAAGACACAATGGTTTGTGCAAACCTAGAGCCAATTTGCAGTTCCCATCTGATATCTGGCAGATAAACAGACCTTGGATATCCACAGTGAGAGTCAGTTGTTCACACAGGCCTCTGAAATGGTTTCAGATACAAAAGCCACTTTTACATATCCCCAGAGAGGCTACTTCCAAGTGGGACTAGAATATCTCCCTGTCCTCTTACCTCTAGCTACTACCTCTTATTCTCCATTCCCAACACACCTCCTCCACAGGTCACCTCTCTATCCGTGGCAAGGCCTCCCAAGCTACTTTCATGGATTTGGCTGTACCCACGTCATGCCCTCAGTCAGCTACCCTGACCAAGCCTGGTAAAGAGTAGCCCTGGGGAAGAGGAGACATTTCCTCGTTGGAGGAGGGAGGATCCCACCAGTTTCCAGGTTCTTACCTGATAATGTTCCTCATGAGCAGGAAAAATGCATTCTTGGCTGAAGTGCAGAAGTTGGTGCCATAGATGGCAATCTGGGACAGATCACAAAGAAGGACACAGAGCAGTAATGGGGTTACTCAGTAGGAGTCATGGCCTTTTCCAGAAGATTTTGCCCTGAAGCCTAAAGATTGTCACCAAACTGTTGCTGTACAGATTAGTCATTCAGAGCCGCATTAGGGTAAAGAGACCCCCCCGCCCCTCCACCACACTGCCAGGGCAGAATGTGCCAAGTGGCCATTCTGTTTGAAACCTGTGCCATCTCTCACTAGTACACAGAGCAGATCTGATCTGCTGATCTTGTGGACACTGCTGGATGTTGGGTCACTCACGTAAGACAGCCAATGCCTCTTAAGACCTAAATGAGATCTTCATGGAGCTAGGGGAAGCCAACCATTGATGGGGTGGGAAGGAGTGTTCAGAAACAGCCCCTTTTGGAGAATCTCCAAATCTACTGTGACCTTCCCTGTTCACTGGGTATTTGGTGGCATTCTTAAACTGGGGTCCTCACCATGATGTATGCGTTCCTGTTCAGGAACTTGATAAATTTTTCCAGGCACCAGAAGCAGCATTTGAGACAGGTCAGCAGGAACTTGGCAAACTTATTCTCAGCAGCTAAAAGCACAAGAGACACAGTGGAAAGAGTGTGGAGCAGAAGAGAAAGTTGTTCTTTGAAACAGCAACTCTTCAAGTATCAAAAATCTCAGCACCAGACACCTCGCTCCCTGCAACACATCCTTCCAACCCCCATCCTGTGCACAGTTCCCACCCATATCTGTTCTCCAGCCATTTCTCTTTGCTCCTTTCAGCTTAACCCTATGTCACAGCACCATCACTTTGACAGATGTAGCTGGCAGCTACCTTCTCTTGCACACATAATTTCAGGAAACATAAACCAATTTTCTTTTTTAGCCATCCACAATCACAAGTGTCCTCAGAGAAGAAGCAAGCAGCAGTCCCTCGCTTCATCCTGAGCATCCCATGTCAGTTTTAGGTTGGGTATTCCAGTTAGCTACAGCCATCACGCCAGTGGAAGCACTGGGATTTTAGTATTCTCGTCTGGAGTGAGAACCCTACCCACTGGACTGTTACTACTCCTGTGGACAGAGAGGGTGCTCTGGAGAATCGTACCGGGAGAAAGGTCTCACGTGTCGTTCTTGCGTTTTAATTCAAAGCTCACATTTCACAGTCACTGAAGTCATTTGGTCAGACCAGGACTGTAACAGAGTGTCAAGTGCAATTCTGCACAGAAGTCCAGAGCCATTCTACTGACTCACTGCCAATCAGACCAAGTGGGTTAGTGCCTACCCAAGAGGAGTATGTAAGGTCTCTCTGCCCAAAAAGGCAGAAAAATCCAGAGAAGAGGGGGTCTGACAGAGAAAGCCTTTAGGAACAGCTAGGCTCAGAAGGAAGCACAGAGTAGTACCTATGTTTAAATTCAGTAATAAGATACAAAGGTAAAGGAAAAGGGCAAGTTTGAAGTAGGGCAGGAATACCATCTGCTTACACAGACCCAGTTATTCTGAGTTGTGACTCGACATGGAGAAACTTTGCTCACCTTGTTTGTCCCCCACCTGCCCTTTCCCAAATTATCCTCAACTGCGTACCTTTCAGCCTGTGATCCAGGTACTCCAGAAGGACCCTGATGATCTGGACAATGGCAAGAATCAGAGACCCAAAGGCCATCGAGCCAGTGTGATACCTGCCACGGGGAAGAGGAGGAGAGGACCTCTGTAAGATGCAGCTTTGTGGCATTTTTGCTTTTAAGTTATTTCTCCTGTAGCCAACAAGAAAACCCAAACCTCTCTTTGGAAAAGCTCCATGCTCACCTGAGTGCCCGGCCGAAGGAAGAGAAGAGGGGGAAAGCCGGCATGTCATCAGGTTTCTTGAAGGCCCAATAGTAGGAAGCAAAGGCTCCGGCTAGCGTGACCTGGCCCAGCGCAATCACAAAGTTGGCCAGCCAGAAGAACATAAAGGCATTATAGATCTGGAAGACGATGAGGTATTTGTGGTAGGCCGTCACGCCCCCATAGAATGCGAAGAGGCAGCGGGCATCTGGGCACTCTTTGGTGATGTTGGTCATATTGAATGTCTAGAGAGAATTAGAGACACTCAGATATTGCAGAGATGAGGCCCATACAAGAACCTAGATAGACAGTAGTTCTCGCCAACCCAAAAGCCACTTCTGGAGTTTGAGTCCAGGAAATTATTTCTTCACTTCTCATACACCACGTTCAACCCCAGAAGCAGTTGCATTTCAGATGGGTAAAAGAACTTGTCTATACACTACTCACTGAGCCCCTGAGAGTACTGTGAAGATCTCAGGTGCCTCAACATCACAAAGATGAGGGGTAAAGGCATGAACTAAACTCAAGGCGGGGAGTCAGGAACTCCCAAGTTCTAATTCTCACTCAGACACAGGACTTCCTTTGCAACCTCAGCCAAGTATGTGCCTCAGTTTCTCCTCTGGAAAATGGGAATATATATTTCCCACTCTCAAGAGGGGCTTGGAGGTGGAGAGGGTCAAGTATATACAGTGGTTAAAGGAGGATTATGAGGGGGAGGAGAGCAATCAGCAGATCTGAAGAGTGTAAACATGAACAAAGGGTGGGGAGGGTACAGTTTAGCTAGCCCGAGAGACTGTCCCAGCAAATGGGAGCCATATGGTACTCCAGGGATGGAGGCTACAGTAGCCGCCAAATTGGCTTTTGCACAATATGTCTGCTCAAGAGACTAATCTTATTAAGTCCAACATAGATGCATAGATTCTAGGACTGGAAGGGACCTCGAGAGGTCATCGAGTCCAGTCCCCTGCCCTCATGGCAGGACCAAATACTGTCTAGACCATCCCTGATAGACATTTATCTAACCTACTCTTAAATATCTCCAGAGATGGAGATTCCACAACCTCCCTAGGCAATTTATTCCAGTGTTTAACCACCCTGACAGTTAGGAACTTTTTCCTAATGTCCAACCTAGACCTTCCTTGCTGCAGTTTAAGCCCATTGCTTCTTGTTCTATCCTTATAGGCTAAGGTGAACAAGTTTTCTCCCTCCTCCTTATGACACCCTTTTAGATACCTGAAAACTGCTATCACGTCCCCTCTCAGTCTTCTCTTTTCCAAACTAAACAAACCCAATTCTTTCAGCCTTCCTTCATAGGTCATGTTCTCAAGACCTTTAATCATTCTTGTTGCTCTTCTCTGGACCCTTTCCAATTTCTCCACATCTTTCTTGAAATGCGGTGCCCAGAACTGGACACAATACTCCAGCTGAGGCCTAACCAGAGCAGAGTAGAACGGAAGAATGACTTCTCATGTCTTGCTCACAACACACCTGTTAATACATCCCAGAATCATGTTTGCTTAACAGGTGTTAACATGTTCAGTTGTGACTATTCAGAGAGCCCCTCACCTCTGGTATGCAGGTCTGCCCAGCATAATCACATTCAGACGTTTCGTTAAACACCTTGTAGACAGCCTCATTAGAAGTAGATAAGAAACTGGGAAAAAGCAGTTAAGGGGATTCAACTTTATGAGACTGGACCTAATTCTCTATCTGTCCCATACAGACCTGCTCTTACCATCCTGTTAACCACTTTTTTTTTTTTAATTTGATCATGAGACTGGATACATGTAAGTAAATAATACCAAAAAATGTCTAGCCTTCTGAGGGATGTGAGATTTCTGCCCCCACCACACCAGGGGTTCTTTGCGGATGGAGGAGAGAGGAAGATGGAAGGATACACAGCGGTGCTGGCCCAGTAAGCAATGCAGAGACACACCAGGAAGAAGGTGCACAGAGGAAACACCAGCGACGTCATGATATAACCAATAGCCCTGCCAGGGAAGAGAGAGTCAGTAAAAACAACAAAAAAACCCTCCCATTGCAAGGGAAATCCAAACAGGTGGAGGAGAAACCATCCACAGACAGCAGCTTGCTTTGCATAGACCCCAAACCTCCCACCACAGGTTTGGAATCGCCACTGCGCAGCCATCTCTATCATGGGCCAGAGGGGGGACTTGGCTTCAGTGTTAGACCCAGCAAGAGTTGGTCCTCACCACTCCCCCCAAGTGAACACAGCACTCCCCGCTATTGCATGTGGCTGCTGCAGTCCACACGAAGCTCACCTGCTGGCTTCCTTGATGAGCGCAATGGCAATGAGGATCCTCTTGCGGAGGAAGATGAGTAACAGGATGATGATCACCTCCATGATGCACAAGATAATCACTGAAAGAGAGAGGGGAAAACTGGAGTCGTACCATGATCAGAACTCTGGATGCGTGCGGTTTCTTTGTAGTAGGATCCTACAATGCTGGCCCCTAGATGTGAGAGCAGCACACCTTGAAGAGACCACCTCTTCTTCCACAGCGTCCTAAGGAAACCCACCAACTTTGGGTTAGCATTATCACTGATACACCTGGGTTTAAACTCTCTAGAGGCTATGAGCATAGATATCCTCTGTAGGGGACGGTCTACATTTTTTTCCAAATAATTGACCAGGCAGTTGTGCGATGTCATTGTCCTCCTCAGATGTTGGTTTCTGAAGGAGTTCTCCCTTCTCTCCAGTTCCCAGGCATCCAGGTTGCAAGAGGGACAAAAACTGGCGGCCTTCTTGGCAGCCTCAGCAGAAAGTCAGAGGACTGAAGGGCCACGGAGGATGAACTCTCTTCCCTTCACAACCCCAGAGGAGCTTAGGAAAAAGACATGTCCTACCACTGCCCATGCTGGTGGGCCTGTTATGGAGATTGAGGATTCCTGTCTCCAGGAGCAGTCAGTCCGGCACTGAAATTCACATCCCCCCCAGCCAGGCATTTCTGCCTGTTGAATGCAGCCATGAACACAGTCCCCTGATTGGAATATCACATATGGAGGTATGTGGGTTCTTGCTGTGCATCCGCAGACCACCATCTCCTGTTCTTGCAGGACAGCAGGACCTAAAACCCTCATGATGTCTTACTTTCTAGCCTCTTCCTCCAAGCAAACGAGTGCAAGAGATCAGCATACAGGAGTGCTTGTTGTCCCACAGCCCCATGTTTGTTTGCATTGCACTAGGCCAAGTAGAGCAGAAGAGAGACTTACTGAAGGCCAACCACGTTTGCCTCAGGTGGAGATAGACACGAAGATCCGTCTGGAATCCCAGGTCCTTCAGGGAAACATCAGAGCCGTCTTCTCCTTTTAGTCGGGCATATTCCATGTAACAGTGGATGATTCCTGCAATGGAAAGCAGAGATTTGACTGCCTTAGAGTGAAACTGTTAGCAGCCTCTGATTAACCTCATGCTCAGAGTATCTGCTACCCAGCGGGAACTATCTTTAAAAGGAGACTGTGGGGAGGATCTGTCAGCTCTCTGGGACGCAAGAATGAGGAGGCTTCAGTCAATGCATATCTACAGGAGCAACTGCTCTCTAAGCATTCAGGGGAGCTCCAGGCAAAGAGACGACTGATAACTGGAGAGGGCCTTTGGCCCCAGCCCCATACAAACTAGGGTTAAGCGACAGACCAAAAGATGTCAGACAGTATAGTCAGGTCTCCCCGCCCCCCAGCAGATGTTCAGGTGTGTTCCCACCCTGGTCTACACAAAATGTACATGCTGGATATGGTCCAAACTTGCCTCCTTCCTGGAGCTTACTTAATTTTTATTGTTAATGTAAACAAACTTCTGACTAAGGTTGGCTGTCCCTCAGCTTTTCCTTGCAAAACTCCCTGTCCCTCTGCCTCAGAGAGGGATATTCCCATCCCCTCTTGTCTCCTGGGTTGGAAATAATAGCATAAGTCAGTGGAAATAACTGCATCTTTAGGCAGAAGAGCCCTGCAACCCTACTGCAGTATCACAGTGAAACAGAAGAGACTAGAACACAGATTGAGCGGCTAAGTCACTAAACCAATCTCAGATAGTTCTGCAGGGTGAATGCGAAGAGAGTCCCTGGAGCCAGCCTCACGTCAGAGACCCTGGGCTCGACTGCCACTCACCGTATCCCAGCACCAAGATTACCAGCACAATCATCACCCAGATCATGATCCCAGCAAGGAAGCGAAGCAGGACAACGAAGATTAAGCTGAACACCATGGCAATCACGAGACCTCTATGGAGGGGAGAGAGGCAAGTTCATGAGCACAGAACCACACACAGAAACAAGCCCGCGTCAGAGTTTCCCATTTTCTGTGCCCTGCAGCTTTGTTCCATTAACTGATTTAGTCTCTTGTTTTCTCCTGTGAACTTTAACAGCAGCAGAAGGCACTAAGTTGGCAGGCTTACTGATGGAAGTCCTCTGTCCCCAGAGTAGATGCAACACAAGCAGCTTCAGAGCAAACTTTCCCCTAAACTGCCTTCTCTGTGTCTCTCATTCCTGGAGGAGGGGGGAGAAGAGGTCAGTCCCCAATGCCTGTTCAAATCCTTGGTCTCTAGATGGGGGCTACCAACAATGGGGGCAGTTCGTCCTGGCAACACGTGTCCTGCTAAGAACTGGACTGAGACCCACCAAACTCACTGCATACAAGATGCCCAACTGTCAGAGGTGAATGACTCAGCCACTGCCACATTGGTGGTGGATTAGAATCGGGGGTGGGCGCGGAAACCAACAAATACAGAAAAACAAACCCTGGATTCCATTCAGATCCCTCTAAATTCCTTTATTTTAACATAGTTCCACTACCACCTTTTTACCATCAGCAAAATGGAGTGGAAAAATCCCCACCACAACCTCATTACGCAGGGGACAGAAAAACCCTACAGCTTCCATAACCAGCAAGCTTTGATACATGTTCATTCAAATGCCGCACTGTTCTCAGACGGCACATGTTCTGCCAGACTCTGCACCCATTAAGTACTAGCGGCTCCCTGGCTCCGTTCCCATACAGCTCTGTCTGGAAGGGGGTCGGACATCATGCTCTTTGTATGCATTAGCTCAGCCATTCAGGTCTCTGCTTACATTATTATCCAGTACCAGGAAACTGTGTAATCTTCAAAGATCTTCATGGCCAGTTGTCTTGCTTCCAGAACCACATTTGCTTTTCTGGAATTAAAAAGAGCAGGGAGTTGTGGGGGGTGGGGGTGGAAGAGAGGCATGTCAGTTTCTGATCAACCCTGCACTCTTTATAGGTCGACCAAGGCCCTGTCGGTGCCAGGATAAGAATTGTTCTCACTGAACATCCTCAAAGATACCTCATTGTCTTCCTTCAGATACCTTTTTAGAACTCCGCTGTGATGCCTACAAACATTTTGTTAGTGACTGGGCGGTTGTTGTGCCCGTACTCCACCAGCTGTCTGTCTCCACCTGTGTTTGGTCTTTAGACTTGGACTGTAAGCTCTTTAGGCCAGGGACCCTCTGTTCTGTGTTTGCACAGAGCCTACCACAGTGGGTTCCTGGTCCAGGACTAGGGCTCTTCGGTGCTACCACAACACAAGTAAATAAGCAGTATTTCACTGACAAATTATTTACCATGATGCCTTCTGGTCATGTTCTAACATGACCAATTTTCCTAGCGAAGACAAGCCCAGAAGCACCCAGGATACCTCGCCTCAGAGATGAGGCTCAGAACTCACTTGGCCCCCTCCACCAGCTCTGTCACGTTCCTTCGTTTTCCCATTCCATCTTCAAAGGTTGTGTCATTCCCAACCATGATGACCCCTTTCTTGGTGTTGATTGCTGGTAAACACCTGTGCGCCACTGAGGGATGAAGCACACGAGGCACAGGTGAACTTTGGAGAGCAAAGCAGTCTATAATCGCCACTTGCCTCATCAGGAAAATCCAGTAAAGGCTAACAGGAAGTGCTTTACACAAGTGTCAATACCACTATCCCCATTTTACACATATATGGAAACTGAGGCACAGATTAGGGCAGGAACTCTGCCACAGTTCCACATCAGATCAGCAGCAGAGCTGGGTTTAGAACCTGGCTGGTTCCCTTGCTCTCATCACCATATTGCACTCCCAAACCCAGCAGCTGGTCTGCTCCTGCTCTTATCCAGCAATTTAATGGGGGTTTTGCTCAGTCACTGCCATCTCCAATACCCTGTCCCAACTGGTTGGATGTGCCACTGGGGGAAGGAACCTGTACCCTTGTATTTGCAGGTCTCTTCCAAGCAACATGCAAGGGAATGAACTGGAGTGAATCCTAGTTAGGGGGACACAGACACATGGAGACCAGCTGGTAGTAACACACCTGTGTGCAAAGCTATCTTGGATGTACATTGCCCTCACATGCTGTTGCACCAGAGGCAACAAACCCTGTCTGAACTTAAACACTAGCCGTATTCAGTTCCCAGGACCCTTCCCAGCCTCTTTTCCTCTGTTCCCCAGTCAGACTTACAGGGTTTGCTGGGAGTGATCATGGACGGACAGTCTCCATCCTGCAGCACTTTTGGGAGGCTCTAGGAGAGAGAGAGAGAGAGAGAGACGGACGTTTAAATGAAATTCTCAGCCTGAAAATTTCTACACCATTCACTCTTCCTCTGGAGAAACATGCAAGCATCAGGTTAACATCAGAGAAAGAAGAGTGCAGAATGGCACCATACTGGGACCAGTTTTGAATAGTTTACTTCTAAAATACATCCCATTCCTTTAATACAACTCACCTTCTGCGGATTGTTAAACCCTGGGACGCAGAACTGCTTGTAGTACTCAAAGTCTTTGGTTTGTCTCCTGGCATTCTGGTACGTGAGATACTGGTCTGGGCACTTATTCACACAGATCTGAAAGACATGCACAGTACTGAAGACTGAAAGAACCAAGTGGGGCTATATAAGATCTAAGTATCATTATTAATCAGAGAGGAGTGGATGAGACAGACACCAGGTTACTGCTCCCTCTTGGGTGAGGGGCAGCAGTCTGCTAGCCGCATCCTGTCCGTTCAGTCTCAGCTTACAGTTCAACTCTTGCCCATCGTGCCATAAAGCTCAAAGCAAATCACCGGCAGAAGCCACTCATTTTTGCTCCTGTTCCTGCACCTTTCTCTGGTCAGGCTCTCAGTTGTTATTGCAATGCCCAGGCACAACCAAGAGAGGGCAATACCGCACCAAGTAGCTCCTCTCTCCAGAAACACTGTGAGAGACAAACACCGGGAGACGTGCTCTGCGTACTTGGCTCCATACCCAGTGCCCACCCAGTTACAGGATTCACTCATGGCTGACTGGAAAACAACATCCCCTGCTCCCTGGGCGGGGTCTGCGTGTGATCTGCAAGGACATTTGCTAAGAATAGCATGTGGGACACTGCAAAGCTCTTATTTAAAACCTTCCAAATGAGAACAAAGCAGGGGTCGGAGCCCCAAGAGAAGCAGCAACGAGAGGTGTTTGGGAGCATGAGAAGCTGCGGAGAGCTGTGTTACCTGTTTGGTCGGACAGTGGAACTCCAGCAGCACCAAGGGGCTGGCGCACTTGATGATGTTGAAGTAAAACAGGAAAGGCTTGTTCCTGCAAACAAGATGACATTTCAGTTTCTGGAATCTCCTGTCCAAGAGGGGAACATGGGACCCAGGAACCTCCCGCACCACCTATTCTACTCCAGGCCTGAAGTGAGACCCTGCGCTGCCTTGCCCATCCGACTGCACTGGAGAAGTCACACTGTCCTTCCACAACCAAGACAGTTGAGTGCTTTTGAAACATTTATACTGCTTCCCTTTTTACAGGCCGAAGAGCTGGAGCAGGAACCTAATGTCAAATGCTCTGTCTCCCCAGGCTGGAGAACCTAGTTCCAATCCTGCTCTTGTATCTGGCTCCCTGTCAAGAGGTTCATCTCTTGGGATGAGAGAATCGCAGCAATACACTTCCTGGCTGATTAGAACTGGAGCTGCCACTTGGAAAATCATAATGACCCACACTTGGGTGTGAATAGAGCCTAAAAGGATGTGTTGCTCAGCCTGGGTCTATAACCACTATCCGCAGCTCTAGTAGTCTCTGCTGGTTTGATCAGAGTTCTTCTTGCTTTGCCTAGTCTCAGGCAGCGGCCAGTGGAGGGGGGGGGGGTTCTCACACAGCCTGAAAAACGGAAGGTAGCACTGAGCAAACAGATAGGATTGTTGGTGTCCCGCTTTATACCTCACAGGAGCTTGGGGTTGGGGGGACAGAGGGAAAGGGGCAAATCTCCCCCTTCCTAGCAGCCAGGGGAGGGGAGGAGATACAGTTGAATGGAGTTATAGGGAGCCACAAAATGAAGGTTGTAGTATTTTGAGGCTATATTGCTTCTGGAGGTGTTATGGAGCAAAGACAGGACATTACTCAGTGTTCCCATGTAATGGCAAACCAGCTTCCCTTGCCGTCTTTTAAAGGGAGAGAGATCTCAGACACATACTCATTGGGAGTTCCCAGCTGGCCACAGAACTGCCCGCGACTGTCTGTGGGGTAAATCACCTTCCTGGGGTCACCGTGTGTCCATGCTGAGTGGGAGAAAAAAGGGCTATGATTAACCAGGCAACCTTCATGCCCTTCTCCCACCTCACCTGCTGTATGAACTTGCTGAGTCAACCATTGGCCAAGGGCCTCCCCCAGTTAGCAAGTGAGCTCGTATAAACACCCTCCTCCCCAAACAAATCAATGGGGCAGCCTCATCATGGGTAGCCCCACCCAGAGTTCTCCTCTGTGCTGATCTGACATGGCTGTGGATACATGGACCAGCCTCTTTCAGCCTCCGTTTGAAACAGGAGCAGACAGAAAACTGAGGTAGTGCATGAAACGACAGCCTGCCCCCATGAGTTTTCAGCTGCTGAGGAGCTAAAGGGATTGTCCCAGGGTGGCTGGGCACTGTGAACAGACCAGGTCTGGCTCCCTTGTGCCAGAGTAGGTGGGCCCAGTTGAGCCCATTCAAGGGGATAGGGCTCCATGTGGGGCTAGGAAGGCCTGCCAGAGGACAGGCAGAGGAGTGACTGGGGCAGGTTGTTCCTGAGGACAGAAGCCAGAGAGGAGTGGAGCTAACCCTGGGGATGGATCCCTGGAACAAGGGCCCAGGTGCTCAAGGAGGTAACCCCGGTGCCAGCGTTCCAGAAGAAGGGAAGCAGGATTACCAGAAACCCCTAGAAGGAGAGGCCACAAAACACTAGGACAGGTGAGCGGAGGAACTGGTTTTGTTGGTTTGGACCATAAACTTGCTTCAGTAATATTGGCCATGGCAGCATATGCTTGAAAGCTGGGGAGAAGCCCTGCCACGTCACAGTCAGGGATCCTGCCTCGAGGAGCAGGGGCAACTCCACCTGCAAGAGGAGAACCATCCCTCCTACCCAGAAACATCACCTGTTAGTGGCTGGACACTGGGTACTGTGCCAAGTACTGCCCTGTGAGCCACCCCCCTCACACACACATGTAACATCACAACACAGTAAGCATTTAATCACTTGTCAACCTGGTGTTTTTACCCCAATGCCTTTTTAGGGCCTGTCCCCGCCAGGATCCGAGTCTAGAGGTGTCGGCGGTGACAAATGCCACTCTGTTTCCTAAAAACCAGAGAAAGGAAGAGAGGGCCTCATGCTACCTACCTACGATTCCCACAATGACATAGCCAACAATGGCGACGACGAGGAGGATACAGCAGATGATGTCAGTGCAGCTCCTGAGGGAGGAAGGAGAAGAACAAGATCAGGCACTAGCCCCAGAAGAGCATGGAGACCGGAGCACTCACTATGACCCCCTGCTTCATCCCAGCACCCCCCTGCAGAAACCAATCACATCCACGTTCTAGCTGAGACGTGGCTCCTGCCTCCAAGGTCTCTGCGGCAATCAGCATTCCCCAGTCACCTACTCTTATTGCCACCGCAGAGTTTCGGATGAGAACAGGTGTTCTCTGCTCCGCCTGAGGAGCACCCCACTCCTATTGCCAGCTGCTGAGAGGCTGCTCTTACCTGTCATGAATGGGACCTTTGAATGTTGGGTCATATTTCTGTGGCGTCCCTAAAAAGAAGGTAAGAGAACGCTGAGTTAGCCATCCATTTGGAGTAGCATCGGGACAGCAGGGTAACTTTCCCCATCCTTTTCCTCCTACTAGGACCTGATATGGAGCTACTTCACACCCAGGAGAAGCAGGAACTTGGCAAATATTGGTGTTGGTTAGAGATGACAAATATCCCTTTCATCAAGTGGCAGGGCAGCTGGTAAACTGAAGCCGAGCAAGAGGAAGTGATCTGCCCAAAGGGACACAGCACATCAAGCATCCGAAGAAGTGAGGTTTTTACTCACGAAAGCTTATGCCCAAATAAATCTGTTAGTCTTTAAGGTGCCACCAGACTCCTTGTTGTTTTAGCACATCAATGCAACAGCCAAGAACAGGACACCATTTGCCACAGCTCTAACTACTTGGCAGTGCTTCCTCTTTGCCGCCACCGGACACAGACTGAGCCAAATCTGGCCCCGGTGGGGTATCCATGCAGCCCTGGAGAAATAACAGAGGGCAGACTATGGCCCATTGTATTTACTTTTCAAAATCAGAGTTGTGCATGTCTGCTATGTTATGGTGGGGAAAGTGTGTTGAGGAAGTCTGATTCTAAGTCTAATTGTCTATTTGTGGCAGTTGAATTTCTTCCCACCAAGAAGAGAAGAACTCAGGAACCTGTGGGTTAGTAATGAGTTTGGGGCTCTCGTGAGCAGGAGAACTTCAGTTCTGTAAGACATAGGCAAGAAAGATTCAGAACAGGAAATCACCTGCAACCACCATGTTCTGGGCTGATCCTAGCCATCCCCCAGGAGCACGGGAATTAAGGAAAATGCTCGTTAAACAATCCAGCAGCACAGAAGAGCACCAGAGACACAGCCACCCTCACCTGCCTCTGTCACACGCCAAATACCAACAAAACGCCAGGCAGATCTAAAAATACCAGGAATTCCTGCCCCAAGGAGCAGTTTGTGCCTTACAGCCCGCTCCGTGAGCCTCCCAGGACTGTATTCTCACCTTTTCACTTTAACCCTTCATCGGCTCAAGAACTGCTTTAAGTCACTGGGGCAGGTGGGGAATTTAAAAATAAAGAGACAAATTGCTGGAGCCAAAACAATTAGTAATGCTCCTAGGAAGGAAGGAAATGCTGGCCATCCACCAAGGATGTCAGGTTTTCCCCAGTGCCTTCCATTCAAGGATCTCAAAGCACTTTACAAACAAAACATTTATCACCTATGCCTCAACCCCTCCGGGAGGCCAGTCAGAATCATAATTCTACAGATGGAGAAAGTGAGGCACAGAATGGAAAAATTAATTCTTCAGAGTCACACGGTGAATCAGCAACAGAACCCAGGCGTCCTATCTCCTTCCCATGAACTCAGCCCACAAAAGCATGCCTCTGTCTCCTGAAAACTCCTTCCAAGCATTCCCTAGGTATTTTCTGTTCTTTCTGGAACTGGCACCCCTAGTTTGAGTGCAGTAGCAAAAACGCTGCACAGGGGCAGGAGAGATGCTAGGAAAGTACACCCAAAGCAGGGGACACATCGCAGGAGACAGGGTCTGGGAAAAGAGGAACAGATTTAAAAATTTTATTAAAGCTAATGTTAAAAAAAATATAGAATACGTAGGTTGGGAAAAGAGCGTCTGTACATCTGGGTATAGTGCTTAGAGATTATCCACAAATATAAAGTTAGTTTTTAAAAGTCATATGATACATAAAGTACAGAATCAGCCCACATTTAGGTGACTAGATTTAACAATACAGTTTAGATATTAGAATACTACATCCTCATCTTGGCACCATGGACTGTGCGGATGGAGGAGGCTGGAAGCGGGTTTCACCTTTACAGCAAAGGCCCGGAGACTACCAGAACCAGGGAGGAAAATAATCTACCAAGACATCATTTTTCTTCCGATATCCTAGTGTCCAGGGCTGGAAATAATTCGATGCCTGACTGTAGAACAAGTTTCCACACAGCTCCTTGGCCAATTCTTAGAGAATGTTTCCATTCAGCTCTTGGGAATTTTCCAAGAGAGAAAGTCACCAGAACTGTTTTCAGAGCCTCAGAAGAGGCCCAGGGGCCCCTCAGTCAGGTTACCCAGACCCAGCTCCAGACCTAGGATAGCAAGTTCTAGCTAACCTAGAAACCCCTTCTCCCTACAGGCTGCAACCGCCCATACCCACCGAAGCACTCCTTGGATGGAATTCAATAGCTGGAGCCAGACTGCTCATTCCATTACCTCCCACCCTGAGAAGGAGCCAGGCCCGGATCCCTCTCTGAGACGCCTAGGAGCTGCTGAGATTCCCTAATCCCTGGATCAAAACGTGGGCAAGAGCCAGTGCACAAGGCAGGCATACACAGATGCTTTGAAAGTGAAACCAAGTGGATTTCCTGGAAAAACAGGGCAAGGCTAGCTAGCATACATACGCCAGAAATTCCAGCTACCTCATGTACTTACAGCTGGCACTTGTGGAAGAGACATGAGTGTGCAGTGTTCCTTCTCTGTATCTCTCACATGCAGAGAGCACCCGCCTTGGCCACCTTGTTTGTGGACAGGCAGTAAAGTGATTTTACAAGGCCCGTTTCCCTTATCTACAGAGCAGGATTCTTGCCAACTTCTGTGAACATTCAGAGCAGCTGCATCCCCACCCCCACCTGGGAGAATTTACGCAGAAGAGTTTATAACAGCTGGTTTGCAGCTCCCACTCACCACTCAAAAATGCACCATGGCCCATTTGCCAAGCTACAGAGATCACCAAGCTCTCAGCAGGACACTAGGGACAGGTGAAATGAAACAGTTCTTGATTTCTGCTCCCTGGCTTTCCCCCTTTCAGGGGGATCACAACTCACTGTTCAGAGAGAGAGCAGCTGGTAGCTGACAGCGCACTTCAGGCCAAACCTGCAGCCCCTCCCTGCTAATCCAGGCCTGGATGCTGCCAGTGCATCTTGCTTCTATTCCAGTCCTGGGCTCCCCATGCCCCCAACTCTGCCAACACACCTCAGTTCTGCCCCACCCTGTTCTTCCAGTCCTGGATCACTCCGGGGCAGCGATGGCTAACTTTGCTGGAACGTTCACCTCCCTAAGAATACCACGCAAGCAACAACTTTGTGGCAATTACCCCCAAACTAGCCACCCCCCCTGCAGTGTCTTGGAAAGCAAGTGTGGGGGGGGGAATTCTCCACCATCTGTGCTGACACAAGGGGAACTCTGAACCTTTGCAGAAAGGGTGAGGGTCACAGAAGAGAACTGGAGGTCCACCTTCTCAGCCATCAGGGCCAAGAGACTCCAAGGTTAATTTGTGGCCATGGGAGTCTAAAAGAGGAGGGACCAGAGCCCAGGGCTATGTACCTAATACAGAGTGACTCACAACAAGGGAGTGACAACTTGTCCACACACAAGTCATGCTGCTTTAACTACACCATCGAAAGCAGTACAAGCCAGCTAGTGTTTCTACTGATTACAAAGGTGCTTTTATAGCTATTCCCCTGCAAGAAAGGGAATAAGCTCTGTGGGTGCAGGGTGCCTTTATACCAGGGCTTAGAGCGTTTTTCTCCATTCAGTCCCAGGGCAGGGCTAACCACAACTGAAAAAAAACGCAGAGGAAAGGCAGTTGCTGACTTGTTTAGCCAGGAAGCTGCTAACCGTAACACTCCGCACCCTCTCTACCTTCCATGGACCTCAGCTGCTTGGGAAGGAGTCTGACTGGCAGACATTCATTCAAGTTCAGGGAGGTTCCTGACAGCCAGCCATGTCCGTCCATGCCCATAATCAGAAAGGCATCCGAGCACAGAAAGCTACTGGCAAAGTCCCAAGGCACCCAGGCGAGGCAGCACCCGATTCCCCAGAACCAAGTGCTGTCCACTGCAGCCCCCTGCACGCCACAGAGGGGGAAGAAAGCGCCAGGAGCAGGAAGGGAGCGCAGGAGGCTGGCATTAGCAGGCCCCAGAGAAGAAAGACACACTGGACATTGCTGCACGACGCACACTTTCTTACCGTGTTTGCCATAATAATTCTCTTCGTCTCCCGCCATGCCAGCGACTCGCTGCAGGAGCTCAGCTCACTTTCTTTCGACTCCCACAGTCAGCTGGGGATCGGTTGCCCAGTCGGGCTCCCGTGGCCCCCTCTTCCTCTCTGGCTGAACTGGTCTAACCTGTAATAGGTATTTATCAAAAAGCTCCCTTTGCAGGCAGCTTGTGTTGCTCTTTCACACACTGATTCTCTGGCTGTCTTAGCCCTCTTTCCCTTTCTCTCTGGGTGTGACCATGAGCAGCCAATAAAAACAGGCCCATTCAGCGAGCACATTTAAAGGCACAGCAACCCTCCTCTAGGATAGGGCTGGGTTGTTGGCCTGCTTCTCCCAGGCCCTGTGCCACGTCTGGTCATTTACACCCTCTGCCAAATGCATGCCAAGTGCTCCCGAATCAGAATAGGAACAAAACTGGAAACATCACCCAAGGTGCAAGGCAGGGGCCAGTTCAAAAGCAGGACTGAGGCTCTTTCTTTAGCACTCATAGGATCTCTCAAGATGTCCCTCACATGGAAGATGTATCAGATTCTAGCCATCTCGCACGGCCAGACCTGCAGCCAAGCAGAGCTCTGCACAGAGAAATCCCAACCACGAACCCCTGCACCCCCAAACACACGGGATCTGACGCACTGCGAAGAATTTCTCCCCAAAGAAAGGGGTCAATGAAGCAGCTCCATGCCTTAGTGCCCGCGCAGCATGGTGGCACATGGCAGAAGGGAGTCTCACAGACAGGCTGTGAACAGTTGTAGCTGCTTAAACCATAAAAAGGCAACAAAATGGGGAAGTTTTATTGCTTAACAAAAGAAGGTTTTTTACACCCATGAAAATAGGTATGCAATGCTCTGAGCTGGGCTCTGACCCCTCCGCGGTTGGAGTCAGGCTGAATTCTCTTCTCTCCTCTCAGTTGTGCGCGCTTGGCATGTGCAACAGCAGCTACAGGCAGAACAGCTGAGTTTCTTTTCCTCTGAAAAAGAGACTTTCCTCTCACAAGTCCCTGATGCAGAGAATGAGGGGAAGGCACAAGTGGGAGAGAGACACATCTAGATGTGCGTGCACGTTTCTATTCTGCTGATGGGTCGAGGCACCGTGGTTCTGCTAGAACTGTGTTGGTTCCTGATACAGTCATACTCCCACAGCCTCAAGTGCGGATGCAGGTATGCCAGAGTAAAGGTGTCTTGCTGCTACAACGTGTTCCCCTTCCTGTCGGGAATAGCTAGACTAGTTCAAGGCACCTTGATATCGGGCTAACCAGGTTCACACTAGGTGACTCTACCGACAGAGTTAAGCTTTTGTGTATAGACAAGACCTTAGAATTGTGTCTTTAAAAAAAGCTTTAAGCCTTTCTATGTGTTGTGCTCATCTACCCTCCTTCACACACCCCTAGAGGGCAGGGCTGCTACCACCAGTGGGCAGATGGGACTGGAGGCCCAGAGAGACTAAGTGACTTGCCTGAGGGAGTCTGTGGCAGAGCAGGGATTTGAACCTGGCTCACCTACGTCTCAGGCTAGCGCCCTTGACCACTAGACCTTCTTCTTCTTCCTTTAGCCACCCCACTGGCCACCGCTGGCACGGGACCAAGGTGCGGGGCTGTGGTTGGAAGCTGGTTCTGCTTGTTGTGTTCATAACGTGTACTCAGCACCATGGGCAGAGAGCTCTAGCCGCCAGTCCCAGCACCTCGACTGAGCCTCAGGGGGCACACACGGTGAGCCACAGCAAGGCAGGTGTCATGAGTATACAGCTAAGGGTAGCATAAAATCCCTCCTTTACCTGTAAAGGGTTAAGAAGCTCAAATAACCTGGCTGGCACCTGACCAAAAGGACCAATAAGGGGATACTTTCAAATCTATGGGGGAAGGTTTTTGTTTTGTGCTCTGTGTGTTGTCCTCTCTGAGACAAAAAGAGAGACCAAGCAAGTAATCCAGCTTCTACTGAAATGATACATCTAATATTAGAGAAGTAATAGCAAGGAAATGCGTTAGAGTATCTTTTGTTTTAGCTTGTGAATTTTCCCTATGCTAAGAGGGAGGTTTATTCCTGTTTCCTGTAACTTTAAAGTTTTACCTAGAGGAGAATCCTCTGTGTTTTAAATCTTATTATCCTGTAAAATTACCTTCCATCCTGATTTTACAGAAGTGCTTCTTTTACTTTTTTCTTTATAATAAAGTTCTGTTTTTAAGAATCTGAAAACCCAAGGGGCACTGGTCTGTGCTCACCTTGGTTACCTATTTGATTGGTATATTATTCTCAAGCCTCCCCAGGAAAGGGGGTGAAGGGGATTGGGGGGTATTTTGGGGAAGCAGGAACTCCAAGTGGTCCTTTTCCTGAATCTGTGTCTAACTCACTTGGTGGTGGCAGTGATACCATCCCAGGGTAAGGAATTTATGCCTTGGGGAAGTTTTTAACCTAAGCTGGTGGAATATAAGCTTAGGGGGTCTTTCATGCGGGTCCCCACATCTGTACCCCAGAGTTCAGAGTGGGGAGGGAACCCTGACAGCAGGGTTCTCCTCCCGCCACCTCCTGCCAGCTCCATCTCAGCGTCCTCGGCATCTCTGCTGGGATCGAGAGCAAGAAGCCAGCTGGTACCGGTTCTGTTCGTGGCTGAGACCCACCAAATTCAGGTTGCGCTAGGGCGTGCGTTCCAATCTCGGGTTGCCGTTGAAATCACTGAGTGTCTCATGCCCACTCTGTCCCCTGAGCCTACAGTTCATTGCTGTGGTCTACCCTCTTCGCTATATTTAGATTGTAAATAAATCTCCACTAGACACATTGACTCAGAGTCAGGAATAGAAACCAGAAGCCCTGACTCCCAGCCCCTCCCCCACTCTAACCATGAGACCCCCACTTCCCTCCCAGAGCTGGGAATAGAACCCAGGAGTCCTGGCTCCCAGCCCCCGTTGCTCTAAGCACTAGACAAAACTTCCTTGGGATAGTAACTGAGCCAAAGATTGACAGTACATCCTGTGCAACCCCCCTAAGCCAGCGCAGAATCTACCTCCCGGCAGCTGTATCATTTGCTGCTGGGCTCAGACCTGGTCTAAGGACGCACCCTGGGAGTACTTTTTGGAGTCACCACCTGTAAGTAGCACGTTTCTCGCTGCCCTACGTGCCAGTCGCCCGTGAGCCCTTGCCCCGGCAGGAGTTCTGCGCTCCCATTGGCTGGCGGTGATGTCATGGGGCAGACTGGTAGGCCACGATTTACGGCTCTGAAACAAAAGCCGGGATTGGAGGAGCGGGAGAATCCGAGCACCTCTCCTGGAGCTGCTGCCTTGGACGGAGGGACCCGCACCCCTCTGCCCAGCGCCAGGCTGCCCTAGGCACAAAGGAGGGCTGGGGAAAGCCTCAACCGTGATGAGGAGAGGAGAGAGGCCAGACCCGCGCCCTAGGCAGGGCAGAGCCTGCTGGGCCATGAGTCATTCTGCCACTCAGGCTGCTGCAGGGAGGGTGGGGAGAACGGAACAAGCAGCACGAGGGTGTGAATGCATGAGGGAGGCCGATTAACCACAGCCTAGAGGGCGAATGCTCCCAGCCGGTCCCTGAGCCGCAGTGCTGGGGGAAGCCTGGAGGGGTGGAACTGGGAGATCCAGGCAGTGCGGGGAGGAAGGACGATCCAGGGGTTCAGCCTCAGGAGAACTGGGCTCAATTCCCCGCTCTGCCACTGACTCCCTGTGTGGTCTTGGTCAAGTCACTTAGTTTCTCTGTGCCTCGGGACCCAGCTGTACAAGATGAGTAATAGCCCAGGGCTGGGCTAGAGCGGCAGCTCCCATAGCTAGGGCTAGCAAGGCTGCTGAGATGCCCCAGCCCCTGGCGTGGCCAGCTCACCAGAGGCTGGCTCGGTTATTCACACACCCAGAGCCATTTGGGTTCCTTTTGTCACCCTTTGACTTTCCCATCACGTGGCCTTCCCAGGCCCTTCTGGCCATTTTCCTTCCCCAACATGGATTCTGCGGGTTTGTTTCCATCTCCCTCCGGGTGGGCGCGATCTCGTAGCCTCCCCTCTGTCCACAAGCTGCAGGCTGAGCCCCGAGCCAGCCCCCGGCCCGCGCCCCGGACGCAGCCTCACAGCTTTCGGACGCCATGAGCTGCCGGGCCTGAGGACGGGGACGAGAACGAGGAGAAGGTAGAAAGTGTCACCTCCCAAGCCAGCTGCCCTCAGCCTCCGGCCACGCACAATGACAGTCCCCAGACCCCCCCCATCTCCAGGGGCTGCCCCAGGGCGCCAGCCCCAGTGGGTGCTGTTCAGAGGAGGTGGCGAGCAGCGTCCTGGCAAGCACAACCCGATCAACAGGAAATGAAGTGGTGCTAATTAAAAGAGATGGATGCCGCCGGCTTTTATCTGCCGTTCAGCCAGGATCAAAGGGGCGCTCGATAGAGAGGCCGTTTCAGAGAAAGTGCCAGGAAGCCGCAAGTTCGCAGAGCCCCGGGAAACCCCCCCGAGGCCTCTCTCCAGGGCAGAAAACCAACATATTCCTCGCAGCCCGAAAGTGGAACCGCCCCGAGGTCTCCAGCCTCGTGCTCGGCTGTTCAGCCGCACCTGCCCCATGGGCTCCGAGGGGCACGGGGAAGTGGGGCGTAGCCAGAGATCTTTGGGCAGCCGCAGGCTCGCTGCAGAGCCGAAAGTATCACAATGGCAAATTGGGTTTAGTCTGTCTGCCCCGCTCCCCACCGGCAGCTGCTAGACCCACCGCACTGACCTCTCCGGGGGGGAAGGGACAATTTCCGTTTAAAGCGTTTATCAGATTCAACCAACTTGGGTTTGTGTCCTGTGGTAACGGGTTAATTTGGTTTTGATTTCTAATGAAGAGTTCGCTGCCTGGGAGAATGGAGGATCTATGCTCCTCACCCCTGACCCACAGCTCCCTGCTACCCCAGGCCTGCCCCGCCCCAGCTCTGCCAGTGCCCCTCAACCCCGACCCACAGCCCCCACTATCCCAGCCCTGCCCCCCCAGCTCTGCCGGTGCCCCTCAACCCCAACCCACAGCCCTCACTATCCCAGCCCCCCCAGCTCTGCCGGTGCCCCTCAACCCCAACCCACAGCCCTCACTATCCCAGC